GCGGCCCTGGACGTACAACGTCGCGGGGGAATAAAACCCGACGCCCGCGGACGGCGGCGGCACCGCGGCGGTCACCGTGCACTGCGTGATGACGAGGGAACTGCGGGGGGGCATCGGGGGGGTCCGCGCGACCCCGTCCGGGGAAAGCTCGATCCCGAAAAAGCAATTCAGGGACATCAAGATAAATGAGGGTCGGCTATGAGGGGGGATTTGTGGTTAGTTAGCGGCTTAGTTTATCTTTTATTTTATTTATTTTTTAGCTTTTTGGGGGGAGGAAGGGAGGGTCTGTTGTGGGTATTGTTGGGTGCCGTTCGCTTGTACTGTCGACAAGAGCAATCGGGTTGTGCTGGGATGGGTAAATACCACAAGAGGGGAAGTGGGAAGGAGTTGGACAGTTTTAGTCAATAACCTCACCTAAGGGGCGTCTATCCTCTCTGAAAACTTCGCGCTAGTGGAATAAATAAATAAATAACGATTTAGGAGGGAAAAGCCACTAAGATTGGGTCACGCAAAACAAAAAGCGCTCATTTACAAAACAAAAACTCAGATCGCATTGTACAAATAAACCCTGTTTGGAACTCAAACAGATCTGTTAGATACACACATCATTATGGGACATAAAACGATTTTTTTTTACCATAATTCAAAGAACTCCTCATTGCTCATTTTTTTAACTAATGCATATGTAAAATTAAATGATTGTTCACTTCAATCCAATTCTGTTTCATGGACTTGGTAAAAGGAAGTTATAGTTGAATATATATGTGATAATATAAAACCCTTACTGTTCATTACCCAATGACTAAGAATAAACGAGAAAGAAATCCCAGAAATTGAAATACGGCTTTCAAAGGGATAATTCAAGAAATAAGCCCACAACGTCGATAAAGAAATATATAGAAATAAATAAATAGTTATCTATTCTTTTATATAGATGTGTGTGTATGATCAACACTAGAATTTCGCAAAACATTTCCATCTTAGTGCGTAGAGCCCCATGTTTTGTCCACCCCACCTCTTCTTTGAATGTCTTACATCAATCACCCTCCATCTTTGTCTGCATAACTCAAAACTTATCACTCTAAACGTCCAATATGATGCTGAAAGTATGAAAAATGAAAAATGTTCGGTATACATAACGCAATAGCATATCCTGCTATTCGCACACACACACAAAACATTCATCTATCCGTTAAATGGGTTGAATAGTTTTACAGTTTAAATAGGCTGGGTGCAAAAAAAGTGAGCTGATTTACATGTTGCGATTCACAAAGCGCAGCATCGGGATCGCATCATGGGTTGGACCCTATCTAAAAGGTAAAAAAAAAGTCCCATAAAGGGTACCTAAAAGCAATCGTTAAATTTTTTACTCCTAAAACCTCACCCGATGGGTGTTTTCCTTTTTGGCCACTGTTGACGCCTTTCCTATCAGCCAACCCAGAGCACACGCATCTTTTCCTTTCGAAAGATAGCGCAAAGACAACCCGAGGTCGCCACCCCGCCTCTTCCTCGCTCAGATCGCATGGTGCCGCAAAACTAAAAGTACAAAAAGTAAAAACGTCGCACTGTAGCCTACAAAGGACTCGAACGCTTCTATCCATGGCCATACCACACAAAACGCTCGCCACATCCGCAAATGTAGCCCGATAAAAGGTGCAAAGAATCCGTATTGCATAAATGTCGCCCCCCACGTGCTCTCTTGATCGATCACACACTCCCGTAACCCAACGACACTCACAAAACAAACCTCCTTTCCACTGAAGCCGGGAAATGGCTTGTAAAAGGGCATCGAGATCAACCACATCCGCAGAAACCCCGCGGGGATCAACGAAAAGTACATCCACCACCATTGCAAATTGACGGAAAAGAGGGCGAGTTTGACGGCGAAAGACACCCGAGGATTGATCGCCAGCGTCCTTTCGTAATACTCCTTCGCGAGGTTGAGCTCGATCTCGTCGAAGAGGTCGGGATCGGCGTGCAGGACGCGCCAAAACGTCGTCATCAGCATGCCCCGCGAGCGCGCGCGGTTGAGCGCGGCGACGTCGTCCAAAGGAAACGCCAACGACGCGTGCGGGGAATCGCTGCCGGGGGCGGGGGTGTAATTCGTCGGATGCCACGCCCGAAGCGCCCTCCCGCCCTTCTCCACCGCGCACCACTGCGGCATCATGAAAAAGACGTCGTCGAACTCCGCCTCGGCCGGCGACTGCGTGCTGTCGAGGGCGAAAGAGTTGGCCTCACCTCGGCCCAGCCCGCCTAAGCCAACCTGGTACATAAAGCCGAGGTTGAACATCGCCTGCGCGCTCTCCCGCTCCGCCGCGGCCTGATAATGTTGAAACGCCTCGTCGTAGTTCACCCCGAGCAGCGGGGACTCCCCGTAGTAGTAGAAATTCCCAATCCGCAGCCTCGCCTCGCTGTGTTTCTCCCCACACATGCCGAGCAGCCGGAGCAGCAGGATGTTTTTGGCCTCCTTCTGCGAAAGCCACCACGGAACGACGGTCGTGGTGTTGGCCTCGGGGGTCGCATAAACCACGGCGGGGAATTCCCAAAAGAGCGTAATCCGGCCCGGGCTCGCGCGCGTCGTGAGCTCGGGCGGGATTTGATTCCCCCGCACGAAGCTCGGGTTCGCAGGCTCCACCACCCCCGCCGCGATCAACGCGGTTTCGGGCACCTCCTCGTCCACGACGTCGAGCTGCTCCTCCAGCAGCGTCGCGGCGGTGAAGGCGTGCGTGGGATGGCCCATTTCCGCCAACAAAAGGGCCTCAAGAAAGCGCACAAAGACGGGAACGGGATCAACCCCGCGCAAAACGCGCTGAATGCGTGAAAGGGCGCGAAGCGCCTCGACGGAACGACGCCGCGCGGGCGCCTCCTCGTCCCCACCCTCATTTTCATTGGTGATCCTCTGGGAGGTGTCCGTATCGCTCGCGAAGGGCATCCGCTGGCCCTGCAAAAAAGGATCCACCCACGAGCCGTGTTCGAGGAGCATGCGAAACGATTCGACGGCCCCGTGGCAATCCCCGGCGGCCTGACGTTGTTGGCCGAGCTGCCAAAGCGCCAGGACGCTGCCATGGGCGGCGGCGACCTGAAAAAGCCGTCCGGCGTGAATCTCGTCCGTCGCGACGCCGCGGCCGTGGCGGTAAAGCACGCCGAGGTTATACGCCCCCTCCACACTCCCCTGCATCCGACTCTGGTTGAAATACCGCACGGCGGTTTCGTAATCCGGCAAAGCCCCCTCCGCGCCCTCCGAGGTCGAGGCCTTCTCCTCGTGGTGGAGAAACCCGATGGCGTGCAGGTAACCGAGCCCGTTCAACGACGTCGCCTCGCCAAACCGCGCGCCCATGGTGAAGTAGTGCGCGGCCTGGTCGAAATCGCGCGGCCGCGAGCCCGCCGGGGAGCTGTCGCCGAGGATGTAGATCTGTCCGAGGGCGCCGTAGGCCCGCGCGTGGCCGAGGCG